ACCGCTGTAACAGGTAAAGCTTAATAGCTCGATATATCGCCTAGTACGCGAAGCACTTCGCTCGAGAAGAGGCCTTGAATAACTCTGGCCAGCCACGGGTTGTATAATCATATAAGCAGTAATTGGGTTTTCACAACAGAGGATGCAAAAACCCACCGACTTGACGGTTTGAGATATTGAGTAAGTGCAGCCCGATCACCTCATCAGTGGGGTGTATTTTTGTCTCCTTTCATATAAGGATCTTCAAATGTTTTGCTGGTTTGGCCGATACCAAACAGCTTCGTCAACTGCCTCTTTTTCTTTGCTTCCTTCCTCTTTTGATGCTTCTTTAGTGTTCGTTCTCCATTGCTTTTACTCTCTACCCTAGGAGGCCGAATCGGAGTTTATTTCAACGTAGCGTCAGGCTCATACAGTTATTCCTCTACGTGCCCCGGTTTATGCGCTATATAAAAAGGACTGGCGTCATGAGGGATTGGAAGAGCGTGATTTTTGTACGTCGAGAGGTGTCTCTGCATTTCTATTGCCTGGGAAAAAATCTATGTAAACATTGCAAAAAATTTATAACCATATACATATGTATATATTGCATGAAATAATAAATTTTGTGTTAGGCGCCTAATAAAAACTTCTTTAATTATTTTAAATATTGCACAAGTTGGAAACTTAGATTTACACGGGTTTTGTTAAAGTATGAACTATGTTTTTATAAAAAAATAACCTAAATTAAATAACAGCAAAAATATTATGTTCATACTTGTAATATATGGTGCGGCTATAATTATTTCAACCACTATATATGAGAGACCTGACGAGCTAGCAAAGGAGCGCGTTCTCTTGGACGCCTCACTAGTGACGTGCACACCAATTCCTTTAGAGCAAATCAAAGCATCACAATATCTGCTCATATGCCACCAGACGTATAAATGGGCTCTGGAAAATAACTCAAGGTTACAGACTAGGAAAGGTTATATGTAGTTTATATTATAAGAAACTTAGTGATAATAATTTTCATTATTTCTGGTGCTAAGAGAAGTACTTTGCGATCGTTGTGAATTTTCTTGAAGAAATAAATAAACTTATGTAAGAAATTTTTATAGAAGAAAATTTCTTTTCCATTTGTTGTGCGTCAGTTTATATGAATTTTAAGTTTTTCTTGAGATCTGCAGGCTTTTATATACGACAAAAGGTTTGAGAAGTGTTACTATCATGAGGAAACTATGGAACATATAATTGCCGCGTGTCCAGTTTTCAGTAGGCGAAGACTTCCGCTACTCGACAAGGTACAGCCAAGAGCAAAAGGTTTTATAAAATTCGTTAAAGGAATGACCGTGTTCTTCACCATTGCGTGAATGCGCTTATTCATGGAACGTAAACATATCTGGCAGCCCTTTGGACATTACCTTCGTCTGTCTGATAACTCTTCGTGTCAGACAGCATAACTACGGTGACCATATTAACCAACGTAAAATAAAGGACATTTTTTTCAAAATGATTTGGGATTACGTACATACAACTTGTATGATAAAAGTACCTTACCCATATCGTAATTTAAATCAAGTATTTACCAGTTAATTATATTATTTAATTGTCCAATTTCCAATGGTCTAGCGAAAAATGAAGCCAAATTCTTTTCAAGGACTTCGACGAAGCCAGCACACAGTGGCTCAAAATTGGAATTTAATGTTTATAATCCACTGGAGTCTTCATTTTTCAACCAATTTTTACTAAAAAGCAAAAAAAAAAAAATATTTATTTTGGTGAATATTTTTTTATAACATTTCAAAATTTTTGTTTGTGTATTTTTTTTTTGTTTTGAGAGAACCATACAGTTGTTTTCAACTAGTTTTTGTTATGAAACATTTATTAACTGGAACAGGAGAATACATTTATTTCAAAATTGCTACTTTTTCTGCAGTTTGCACAAAAAAATTTAATATGATCAAATAAAAATTCAGAAATCAGGCTCAACTGGTCTCTTGCAAATATTGCAAGCTTTCATAAAAAAATAAATATTAATCAAATGAAGTGAAAAATGAAGGCTCCAATGAATTATGAACACTAAATGCCAGTTTTGAACCACTGTGCAGCAGGGGGTTTATTGTTCTCTTTCAGTGAAACTGGAAAGTCAGCGTGCAACACGATCCTGAGCACAACTTTCCCTGTGCTTTATAGATTGTACAAAGATAACCGATTAAATAGAAACCCTTAAGTGGGACGCGAAACAAACTGGGGAAGGTTTTCATTATATTTTATAAGGGACATTTTCATTTTTCATATTCTGCGTTTAAAAGTTTACCTCTGAAAAATGCAGAGCCGATTTAAAGGACAGTTTAAGAAATAAAGGACAAAAGGCGTCCTTTATTTTGAAAAAAATTATAAAGGACAGGGTGCTAAAACAAAGGACTGTCCTTTAAAATAAAGGACGGATGGTCGCCGTAAGCATAACCCAACCCAAGGTTTATATATAAGAGGTTGCGCAATGCGCAGGTCCGTTATTCTTTTCTCGCAAAATTGGAAACAGCGGAAACAACAAGCAGCGTAAAAAAACATAAAATTGAAACGAAGTGAAGCGATTTCAAACCAATTGTAATCGATAGCTTATTCGAAAATACATCTACAGTTAATTTTAACCAAATTTTTACTCATAACTGTATGTCGAGAAAGCCACAAAGTCGGATTTTTCACTGCGGTAAATTTTTGCGAAATTTTCGTTTCAACTCGCTATATCTCAGACGTTTGTGAAAGTAATATTAAGTGAAATGTTGAAATGCATGAATTTATCAGTGTTATATAACTATTACTAAACTTAATAGACATACTTACATACATACATACATAGTAAATATGCACGTAACTCAATGCATAGTCAAAATAGTTATTCGTACAGTGATTGCTTCACAATACATATTCGCAATGTTTTTAATAATGAATATTCGGTAGGTTTTCACGAAAATATAGTTGATGTTTTAACAAAAACCATACGAATTAAATTTTAAAACTTTTTGCAAAACTTAAAAAGTTCTACAAATTTTCATCTATATTTCAAAATTTTGACTCACATTTTTTAGAGAAAAATTGCGTTGATTTTTGAAATTTTATTTTCTCAATGGTGTTGAACGTTTTCTTCCATGCAAAACTACATTTTACTCATGGAAGCAGATATTTAACACCCTTGAGAAACAAATTCTAAAAAATCAAAGGTAATTTAATTATATGCATACATAGTACGTAGGTCTGTAGAGCTTTAATAAGTTTTATTACACTGACAAATTTATGAATTTCAACATTTCACTTAATATTACTTTCAAAATTACTTGTACAAGTGCCCACTAAAAATATTTGTCATCTAGAGGGGAGCGACCGCTCGTGGGTGTCATCATAATATTGTTATAACTTTAGAACTACTTGTTGTCTAAACCTGAAACTTTCCCAAAAATTTCCGTACATATTTGTCTTTAATGCTGCATTAAAACAAAACAAAAATTTTAAGCTTCATAACACCACTTTTGCATTTGTAAAAATCACCTCCTTAATTTTTATAAAAATGTTAAAATATCCGCCATTTCGTTTCAAATAAGTATTAAGAAGTGCAGTTAGACTCGTCTTCGTCAGAATAGAATCTAGTTTATTGTGTACAAATTTCGAATCAATCGAATCATAAACGTCTGAGATATAGCGAGTTTAAATGCAAATTTCGCAAAAATTAGCCGCTGTGAAAAATCAAGTTTTTTGGCTTTTCGGCATGAAGGCGTGAAAGTAAAAAATTGTCGTATGCGCAGAGAGGCAATTTTTATTTCGCGGTTTGCGCGTCCTTCTATTTATAGATCTTGTACCCAACCTAACCTACATACATACTACGTTTAAACGCATGCATAAGTTGCTTTAATTCATTTTGCCGCGATTCAAAACATATGTATAAACTGAATTTCAATTCGCTTTGAAAGAGCGAAGTGTTTTGGCTCACACTCCATTTCAAATCGGTAGTTTAATTCTCCAGACAGTTAGAAAGAGTGTATAAACACCGCTCTCACTCAAAGCGAATTGGAGATCAGTTATTCCGCTCAAATTACAAATAATCGCATCAGTATTTAAAAGCTGATTAATAATAATCGTTCTTTTTCTTTGGTACGATTTTATAATGCCGAATAAAACTAGATATCTCTTCAAAGGTACATAAAAAAGACACCAAAAAACATCAGTTATAAAATGTATTATATTTTAAGACCTCTGGAAAAATATTTTGAAAGAATATTAAGATTACAATACAGAAAATACCTCCAAAAATCTGATTATTTGGATTCCATTGATAGAATTTTGTAAAATTTTTAAGCATTCTTTTCAGTTTAAACTCTTCTATAATATGATCTAGTCTTTTGGAAAACATATTTCTAATGTATAAAACATTAAAAAAAAAACAAACGTAAATCTTGGTACTTTCCCCTATTGTAATATTTAACTTATTTTTTCATTTTAAATGAATACAAATTCTTAAACAGGTGACAACCCTCCTCACAAATATTTTCGGCAGTAAACCTTTCTAAACCTCTTCAGTTTGGTACCCATATTGTAATTTTCATTTTATATTTTAAATAAACTTAAAATTTTCAAACCGGTGGCAGCCCTCAACAAAAACAATTTCGGCTGTACGCCTTCTTAAACCTTTTTCAGTTGACAGCCATATTGCAATACTTACTTTTTCATATAAATTTACTTAAAAGCAATTTTGAAACAGGTGGCAACCCTCTTCTCTTATACTTTAAGTGGGACCTCTAGCTCTCGATGAAAAATGCATTAAATTCCACGCATTAGTTTTCGAGTGATGCGCGTACAGACATAAAGACAGACAAAAATTCTAAAACTTGTTGATTTGGATTTTGTTAGTGTAATAAAGAAACCCCCCACCCAATTTAAATTTTCTTTAATATCTATAATTTGCAGACATCAGCCTGTTACAATTTTATAATATGTATAGATTATTATTTCACGCCTTATACTTGCAGATGACATCGTCCCAACGCATTCGATGCCAACAACAACGGCAAATCATAAACGTAAACTACTCACGGCGACAGACGAACGTCGTCATTTGTATTGCATGGAAGCCGGTTCGATGAAATCACTAAATCACAATAATAATGATCGGAATGGGAGAATGGGTGGCAGCAGTGGTAGCAGCACATCACCATCTGCCTCGATGACTGTGATTAATGTGCCACAGCAGCATCGTTTCAAGTTGAACCAACAGCGGCAACAACAACAGCTACAATTATATATAGAGCAGGATATGGAACGAAGTAAATCAACATCAACACCAAGTCTGCGGTTACACGACACCGCATTAAGGAGGTAAGAATGCCCAAATGGTACAGGGCTAAAGAAAATGGCTCATTGTTATGCTGCAACTTTTATTTGATATATGTATATGCTCGTATATGAAAGTAAGTATGTACATACATATTTACATGTACATCTACGTATGTATGATAAATAGTTGAAGTGAGCTGTTTGCAATTTAGTATTCTCCGACACATTTGCGTGTGACTTTTATAAACAGCTCTACTAATGTCAGCCTTCTTTTACCAAAGAAACGATAGGCCTCTAAGCCGCCAAGCTGCTATAATGAGATTAGGGCACATGTAGCGCCATTTTACCGGCAATTTGATTTAAATTTAACGTAGCATATTAATAGCATTCGAATAGTGATATATTGCACCCCAGCTACGCATCAATTTATTAGATTAACGGTTTTCTTTCCATTTGTTTATTTTAACAAATTTTCTCACCGCACGCAGATCCAATAAAACCAAAAGTCTGGAGAGTAAGAAACGCGTTATCAAAATGCTATTTGTACTTGTGTTGGAGTTCTTCATCTGTTGGACACCGTTATATGTTATCAACACGGTGGCGATGTTCATAGGCCCAGCTATCTACGAATATGTGGACTACACGTCGATTTCGTTTTTTCAATTGCTCGCCTACTCCAGCAGCTGTTGTAATCCAATTACCTACTGTTTCATGAACGCGGGATTTCGACGCGCCTTCCTCGACACCTTCAAAGGCATTCAACTAAATGGTGGTTTATTTCGGCGCAAGAACTCATCGAATCAGTCGGTGGCGGGAAACTCAATTATAATGGCCAACAGCGGCACCATGTTGACCACAAACAGTGTGTTGGACAGTCCGCGGCTCTGAGGGCAAAAGCGGGGGCGGTACGGACGGACTCCAAAGTGGCAGAGACAGATGTCTGATTCGGTGTAGATGTTTGTGTTTGTGGTGAGAGTAGGGCTTTGATTCGATGTTAAATCTTTAAGTTTAAATGCATTTAATTGTAGCTATTTAAATGAATTAATGTAAAATATGTATGTATAAGTTTTAATCAGATCTGTTAAATAATGATTATTAATCACAACGACTGTTGATTAGATCGGGTTTTTTAAGAAACACGATAAACGATTAAGTACCATTTTTTTGCACTCTTTTAATTAGAATTTTTTTTATTATTTTTTCAATTATTTTTGGTTTTTTTTTTAATTATTTTTGCTATGATTAACTGAGTGCATACATAGCTCAGAGATCGAACCGCTTGTGCATTTTATAATAAAACGCAAACAATATCAGGTAAATTTTGACTACGAAGTAAAACAAAATGCCAAAAACAACTCACATCAAACAGGTTGCAATAACAACTAAACTTAAGAAATTTTTAAACGACGATTTTGGCCCTATTTTTCAACCAATTTTGAAACCATAAAAACTCTCCTTGATTCGGTACATATATGATTTATTTTGGAAGGAGTTTCCATTATGCTTGTTTGGATACAAACCGGTTTCGGCGATGTTCCATCTTCAGTAACATTTTTCGTTAATTTTAATTGTTTTTTATTACTTTCGGTTAAGCATAAATAGCTAATAATTACCTGGTTACCAAGGGAAAAGGAGATAATCAGCAACTAATCATAATGATTTCTACCCTTAATCGAAATTTAATAGCTCTGGTTTTAATCATATTTATGTACGAGATGGAGGTCCAATAATTATATTGTAAGTATGCTTATAAAGTCTGTATGTAAAAATAAGTGCATATTCATACATTTTCGCCCAGCGTTGTTACGTAATTTTTCGATTTGCAACTTTTTTTTCTAGTACTGAAATCAAAAGTAGCGCACTCACATGAAATCGTTCTGCTTCGTGTAGTAGTAGTTTTTATTTGTATACAAAGGAAAAATGCGAATATAAAATTTCAAATCTGAAAAATTACATGTCAGAATAGAGCTTAAGCTCAATAAAGTCGACATATGTATCTAGTATGTATGTATGTATAAGTGCAGTCAAACAGGGAAATGCAAATACCTTTTTAACGCATTTTGCTACCAGAAAGAGTAAACGAAATTTCGATTTCTCGCGTCGATAACCATGAAGCGATTTTTGTCACTTTTTAGAAATCACTTTTGGAAATAAAACTTGCAAAGCATGATTGCAAATGAAGAAATACCAATCACATTCAAGAATGAAACTAAACCTAAATGGACAAGGAATTTGCGCTTACACATTAGCTAGTGCATTTGCCGAGCTTCTCCTTCGATTTGTGGTTTGAATCTTAATGTTATCACACAACATTGGCTGCACTAACAATTTTTATATTTTCTGAACGTGCTGTGGAATCAATGGGTTCTTGTCATATGAGCAATCAGTTGTATTGGAGCTATAAGTTATAGTGGTCCCATTTTGGTAGTTTTGACAAATAATTAATACATTATATACACTCGCCTACCAAATTTCAGGCAGATATCTCGAAAACTGAGGGACATAATTGCGTTCAGACAGACAGACATAAGGACTTGGCTAAATCGACTCAGTCCGACGTTCTGATCATTTTGGGAAACATTTATGTGGGTCTATATTTTCTTCTTCAGGTACTTACAAGCACCGGACCAAATATATAATACTATTTCATGTTCTTAAAGGGTTTAAAAAGTGATGGAAAAATCGTAAGTTTGTTACCCGTACGTTCGCGACCGATACTTAAGCCTATAAATAAAAAACTAACAGAGATATCTTAACGCCCAGTTAGTTTGGAGAACTTTGCTTTATTCCACTTTAATATAAAATTAATCGATTTAGAATATTCTGTTCCATTTCGCAGTTTCTTGCATGTTTCAATTTACAGCCAAAATCGACCTCCATTATTCATACGTTCGCGACCGCATGTTTATTGCTAGCATATTGAAAAATAAAAATCTAAAGATCACCCCTTTTACACCAAGATATACCTTAAAAAATGCTATCGAAACATAAAAAAAACTTTATAAAAATTTATATATTCCTTGTTTTTTTGAACTTGAATAGCGTACGAACGTACGGTTCACGACCATTCCAAATGCCCATAAACGACGAGGTTGACCTTTTTTAGAAGTAAGAAAAGGAAATCGCAGAAAAAAGTTAAAACTAAGTTACCAAATTAAAATAATAAGCTAGTGATATTTTATAAATTTTTTGGTTTATTTCAAAGAATCTTAGATAAAGTTTGCATATTGTTACCACAGAGCTTCTTGGCCCATTCGGACAACTCAAGGACAACGCTTTCTTTAGATTTTAATGACTCTTACGTGATTGTTCTGCTGTTCGGTGTGTTCTGGCAGTTTCAAAAATAAATTCTAGTGAATTCTGGAGAGTTTGCGCGTAAATTCGTAAAAGTGGTTCTCATACGTTTCGGAAACCTATCATCATTGATATCTACTAAGCGCTTATATATTTCCTTAATTTATTTTTTTTTTGAATTTACTGCTACCATCTTTTATCTGATCGCATAAAGTGTTTGCGTGAAATTGGTTGATTAGCCAAAAAGTAGTTTCACAGACTTCCTGAAATAAATTGCATTGCCACGTCTGACTGCTTTTAAACACTTAAAACGTGAGACATTAAACAAAAAAACAAAGGATTAGGTTTCTTATTTGGACTTTTCGTGAATTCGAAGAAAAACAATAAATAATGTTTTAGCGCTAAAGTAGTTTATGCTTTAAAGAAAAATTATTGTACAGTAAGATGTTCTGGTGTTTTGTAAGTATATAAATATATGTAAATAAATATTTTTCAAAAATATCCATATAGTAATTATGTACAAATCGTCAACGACATACTATGTATGTTTAAGTGGATATATTTTCTAGTTTCCTTGAATCTGGATTTGTACAAATTTGTTTAATTGAACTTTCATGTTTTAAAGTGTTACACTGAATAAATATCAAAATCTAAAGATAAACGTATCAAGATATATTTTTTATTCACTTTGGAAACGAAATGGAGTTTATACCGAGGTAAGGAAAAAGGTTATATATAGCATACGGTGACCATATTTATGTCACACGAATAGGGGACGAAATAAAATTTTATTTGAATTGTCTTACAAAAGCGAACAAATATCTAAAAATCTTACCTTCCTGTAGGAAAAATAAACCAGGACCAAAAAAATTAAAAGTGTTACCAATATCACCATTTTCTCTATTTCATCAATATCGAAAGGGTCCAGGTAAAAGTCGACTAAGATAAGTGGATGCCAATCAGGTCCTAATTACTTGCAAAATGTTTGTAGATATGTAAGCAGCATTGAGAAACGATTGTTTATGTAACTAATGCAACGACTAAATACATAAATTAATTTAATTATTTTGTATCAATGCTATATCTCTTTCAGCAATATCGTTAACATATTTAATATTCTTAATCATCTCTAAGACAACCAACTTCCGAGTCATTCTTTAGAGAATTTAATGCCTTAGAGAAATATGCCCAGAAAAACTGTTGTCTCCAACGGTTCAGTAGTTATAAATTTTTTTATGAAAACAGATTTTTGTACGTGTTATTTAAATACGTAGAAAATTTCAAATGGCCACCGACACCTTTCAAAACTGGAATACAATTTTTTTCCAAAGGGGAGAATTTTCTTCTCAGCAGGTAAATACATAAGTTCTTTTATGGCCATAAATTGGTTATGTTAGTTATTTTGAATCACCATAATGTGAATATAGGTATATGATTTAATCAGAGTTAATTATTCTAAGAGGTGACAACCTTCTTTATATTATTTTGTAATGTGAGCTTTCTTAAATCTCTTTCGTTTGACGATCATATTCAAATATTTCTTTTATCTAATCAAATTAATGAAATTTAAATTTTCAAACAGCGAGAACCCTTTATATTAGGTCTGTGTGATTAGTTGATTATTCAAAATTTGAATTAATCATAAAGTAATTAACTCGAGGTCGAGTAATTGGAAATTATCGTTTTTCGAGTAATCAAGATTTTGATTAACCAAAAACAAAAATAATTTGAGTAATTTGCTTTTTGATTAATCACGATTATGAGTAAAATAAGTAATTAATAGGTTTGTTTCACAAGCTACTCGAAGTCACTTCGAGTTAGACATACGTGTTACACAGGTAAGTTTTAGACTTTCTTTGACATACGTTCACAGTTTAAACTTTGCTCGAGTTTTTCTACAAGTATGTAGCAAAGCACTCTTTACATATAAAGTAGTTAAAGTGCCTTGCTACTTAAAAATTAAAATTAAATTTTTTTTTCATATACACCCAAAAAAGAACTTCTCTTAATTGAAGAAAAACAGCAATCAAAATGAAGAAAAATGGGAACGAAACAGCACTAAATAAGTTTTATTCTCTTTTCATGCCCAACATTTCTTCAAAATGATAGATTACATCCACGGTCCAATATTTTCGTGTACTTTTTTACACATTCCAAAGAAAAATTACGCATTCGGGAGAATTTTTTACTCATTCGGAAGAATTTTCGACCTTAAAGTAAGGAAAGTTTTTCTTTGATCCGGAGATGGATTTTTGGTTCAGTGTACAAATTGTAAAAAAGAAATTAGGCGTTTTCAAAAATCAACTCGTTTAACGAGCAAAATTAATTTTTTGAGTAATCATATTTTAAGTAACTCATCGGTTTGAGTAATCAAAATCTTGATTACTCGAGTAATTGATTAATAAGCTTTCTTATACCCTTTGCCATTTGGCAACGGTAAGGCGATATTTGATCAATCCTATTAATTAAAATTTACTTAAATTTTTAGCAGGTGGCAGCTCTCTTTAAACCTAGCTATACAGCTCCTCGCCGAGAAGAACACGTGGATATGCGTCTTTCAGACCACAGTAACATAGAGCCTATTAATGTCAAACTTTAAGCAGCTGCTCTTTTATATATATATAGATATAAATTTCAAAGCGCCATCTGGTGCAAATTTTGTTTTTCATACTTGAAGGAAAGTACTATTTAATACCTTTCCAGTAAGCCTAGATCATATGAATAGATATGTACATATTTACAAATTTTATAAGTATTTTTTATATATGTATTACTATCGTCACCCTTATGCCAGAAGCAAGAATGTGAAAATTTATAATTTTTGAGTTATTGGGT